GCGCAGCGGAAGACGAGCAAACAATGATGAGGGAAAACATTTAGTGGATCGAAGCTTTGGACAGGAACATCACAACACCATAAAAAACATCAATCCATCAAACGAAAGAAAATAAAGACAGCAAAAAGAAGGTAAACAGTCAGGTGGGCTGTAAAGCATCTTGGGTTACCTTGGGTATGAAATGTGCCGTATAAATAAATTTGCCTTGCCTTTTTATCCTCTCCCACCTGTAAACAACTTTAGCTCTTCAAAAATGTTAACCCCAGCCTGGCTGAAGAGAAAACAATCACTGAAACCAGTATGAAAGTTATAGTGGTTTATAGTTATCTTAACAGCGATTTCAGCCATTGCATATTGGGTGGTAGCTGCAGGGCCTATCTGCCTGAGCTGACAGAGTGGCCAAATAAATCCAGCACTTGATGTGAAGGCAGTCAACCGAGGACAATAGTGTAGCAAGGACAGAAATAGACTAGACAGTAGCACTCCCCAAAACAAATTGAGAGGCCATGGATCTAAATTCAGTTCCTAAAAGTGAGACACAAATTCACAGCAGCATAACAAACAAAACCAGAAAATGCTTATGAGTGGTTCTCAACATAATTAGCTTCTGCATTAGCTATTGGGGAAGAGATTACTGTTTAATTTGAAATGAGGTTGAGAACAGTGCACTGTAAAGAATGCATCATCTAGTAGGGTCTGATTGCTTTGGGTTATTGTTTTGGCTGAGATTTGTGCATTAACCAGTTCCTATTCTCCGTAAACACAATACAACTCCAAACAACTCTGTAGACCTTCAGTTAAATGTGATAATGGGAACATGAAATACATCTGGTACATGTGGAAGACCATTTCGTTTACCTGTGCCCACAAATGAATGAATGATCTCTTATAAGTCCTGGTTTCCTGAGATCCCAAAATAATTTCAACCATGATAAAATGTTTTGATTTGCTTTAATCTCTCGAAAATGTATTCAATTTATTTATTTTTTTGCAAATATAATTTAATTCATTTTATGCTGAGATCCCAACACAAACACTTGTCTTGTGATCGCTAAATTATTATTTGATGTCCAAGAAATTTGGCATGCTCCAGTGACAGATCACAAGAAAAAAAGATCTATAAATGCGACTTCTAAGCACACACTAGGAAACTAAATTGGATTGGTCTTTTTTCTGCCCACAACAAAGCTCTCTCTGCTTCCCTTTCCTTTTTCTGACAAAGTTGGCAAACCTCTACATGGTCAGTCACTGTCAGTCAGACAGTCAATTAGCTAACCTGAAAAGACAGCAAGTCTAAGCTGCGAAAGAAACTGAAAAAATGAAACAATGAGAAAAGAAAAAAGTCGTATGGGATTAGATACATTTTAGTAGCTGTGTTACATTAGCTGTCAAGAGACGTGAAAAAGAAAGCTCATATAAAGAGTGAATCATTATAACCATCATCCATGTTTTTCTTCATACAATGTAAGCCAAGGCTGCTAATGCATGGAGTAATCAAAAATAGAGAAAGGTCTGGCTGGGCAAGGAAATTCAGGAGCACTGGGATGGCGGTGTTCCTCGGGACAGCGGACAGGGGGAACAAGAGAGGGGTTTAAAATGGACAAAAGTTTTTTGGGATCAATAGCTCTGGGCTGTAAGAGACACCATTATATCCAGTGGTAAAGGCTGGCATTCCGTGACATTTTCGGTTGGACTGGTAAATGTCAGATGGAACAAGTCAACCCCTCTCCCTCACTAATGACATGCCACAGAGACCTACACAGGCCCTTTGTCTCCATCCCCCAATTTCCATTAGTCTGTGTGTTCCACTGATACGTCTCACTGGTCTGTAGTGCCTTTCGTACGAAACAGTAATCTTCATGGCCTCCACAGCTGTCTCGCTTTGAAAAAACACGACTCTAAAGCCACGCTAGCGGCTCTGCGAGGCTGCACTTGGGCACAGCGGTGCTTTGAGCTAAATGCTGATGGTAGCATACTACAGTGGCCGCTGTGACAAAGCCGTGTTATAAGCAGGTGTAATGTTAACCATGCACATCATCTTATTTTAGCATGCTAATATTTGTTGGTTAGCATTCATTTATTTTGCAGGTATTTGGTCATAAAACATTTTTTTTTTATCTGATGGTGCTGCTGCATAAAAATTTTGTTCAAATTCATCCAATTAGTTTTTTTAAGATGTGTTTTGGAAAGTAATTATAGATTAATATAGAGGAAAAGAGACATTGTTTAAAGGGTACATTCAATTAAATGGTAGTCTAACCTAGAGAGTCAGGGTACAGCAAGTCGAGTCAAGAAACTTTATTGTCATTGTACTGCTCTTCCAAGGCCCTGATACTAAAACCGATATAAAAAGAATTAAAAAAAAAAGAAAACAGTGTGCGGAAATTAAAAATTAGCAGCATTCAATCTAGCAGTAGAGTGGAGTGTTCAGTCAGTGGACAAACTGTTTTTCGCTCCTGTGGTGCGTTCGTGCGTGTATTGTCCTTTATCGCCTGCCAGAGGGGAGTAGTTTGAAGGGGTAGTGGGCACAGCGGCGGTGAGTTGGGTCATGGATGATGTTAGAAGCCACTGTGTGTAGAAGCCAATGAGGTTTTGGGCCATCATCTCTGCAGACAATCGCTTGCACACCAAGCTGTGATGGACCAGTCGGGATACTCTCCACTGTGCAGCGGTAAAAGTTCACAAGAAGGTTCTGCAGCAGTCTGGCTCTCCTCAGGAAATAGAGGTGTTGTTATGCCTTCCCCCAATGACAGTGACGGTAATTACGGCCCAGGAGAAGTCCTCAGTAATGTGTGCCCCCAGGAATTTAAAACTGGAGACTCTCCACGGCCTTGCCGTCAATTAACACTGGGCCGAGAACCTGCTCTCCTCTTCCACAGCAATCTCTTTTTTGTCTTCTAGTTGTTCTGAATGAGATTATTGGCAGAACACAAGGTTGCCAAGTTCACACCTCGTCCCTGTATGCTGACTCATCATTGTTAGGGATGTTGCAACCGATCATGCGGAAAAAAGTGAAATTTATTGACAGGAAAGCAAGACATAAAATAAATGTTGTTCAATAATACATGTGAAGTGAGATTGTAGTTACTTGCCGTTATATTGAGCTTTTTTTCAAGGTTCATTCCCAATTCCCTTTATAGTAGAACTAAATCCCATAGTTCTTTCCAGGAAACTCACTAAAAAAGTGTCTGGAAATTACAAACCTGTTAAAAAAATGTTTCATTGCTAAAAATGTCAACCTCATGGAGGGGCTGGAGAAAAAGTCATGAAATGAAATCATGAAGAAAATGTTATGGTAATCTGTCAAACAGTGGTTGAGATAATTTAGTCTTATTGGACCAAACTGACAGACTGACCGACAATGCCATTCCTAGAGCAACTCAGCTCATAGCAACATATCTAAAAAAAAAATGCAATTATAATGGACAACATAACAAGACATTTTCCTCAACACTGGCTTAGTATCAGCAATGGCCCTCACTCGTATTTTGTTTAGCCTCAACGCTATCACCTATTATTCATTTTATACTGCAATCATTCACACTCCAAATCTGATATTTAAGCACAAAAAGCTCAATGAGAGTTCTCACTGTACACATTCACATCCACCCATTTCCTCTCTGATAATACACTTTGTTAGCTCATAGCCCCTTGGTTTCAGCAGGAAAAAAAAGTACAGTTGAACAATTTAGGTTTCAAGGCTGTCAGAAAAATCTGAACTCATTCCATCACGTCTCCAACACACACACACACGCACACATCGCGCATGCCTTCACAAGAATCTCACACACATCCCGCGATTGTGATGCACACTGTTAACACTCCCACTGTGCCTTTTTCAGATGTAGTAACACAAATGGCTCTCTAAAAATAAGCACACACAAATACG